TCCCTGGTGGTTGTACCGAGACCGAGGCCAAGTCAGGGATGGTGGGGGACATCCGAACCCGGAGAGGAGTTTGAGAATGAGATCGCTGGGGGTGTCGGTGTGGCGGAGCTGAGCGTATGGAGTGCGGCAGGTGCAGCCCCCCCTCCCCTTCCCCAAGAAGAAATTCGGGGATGAGGGGCCCGACTCTGGAAGGGACATTCTTACTGCCATAGAGTCCATGCCAACTCATGACGACCCCGTAGGACAGCGTAGAACTGCCTCTGTGGGTTTCTGAGACGGTAACTCTTTTAGGTGAGTAGAAAGCCCCGTCTGTACGCCCTGGAGTGGCTGGTGGTATCGAACTGCTGACCTTGTGGTTAGCAGCCTAAGGTGTAACCACCACGAACGAGGCATTGGGAGCCCAGAAACTGTTCCTTAGTAGCAGCGAGGGACAGTTGAGGCCTCTTTTTCGGTGGCTGATTCAGGGGTGAGGAGGAGTTTCTGGGTGAGGCTCCTGGGGCACACATTTTAAGAAGGCACTTACAGGACCCGGAAGGTCATCCCCGGCTCAGAGACTGTTGGTGCTGGGCCCGTGTGGGTTTCTGAGGCCTGGGCCAGCTGCAGATGTCAGCGTGCTACTGACTGGGTCATTCTCTGTATTTGCCTCTTTCCAGAGTCTCAGCTCGGCTGTCCTCTCCTCTCCCCGCCCCCTGGAGCTCCTCACCAGTTTTTGGTGTGCGTGTGGGGGGAAGGGGCTTCCTACTGCAGCCCCTTATCCTTGCAGAACAAAGGTTGGGGTCCGGAGGAGGCGTGGGCTCCCAGCTGCTGCTGCCATTACCAATACCCAGAGCCCCTTGGGACGAGTCCTTGGCTGGTCTTCTGCCTTTTTAGCTGCATGAATATTTCATTGGCTGGGGCGTGGGGCTGACCTAGCAGGAGTCCAGCATGCGCCCCTTCCCGAGCGAGGCCTCCTCGGGCACAGCGGAGGATAGGTCAGCCCAGTGTTAGGTGACGGTCTCCCTAGAAAGCCTGCTGGTCTGTCCTCTCATGGAAAACCAGGGCTGGGTGTGTGGAGGGAGTGGAGAAGGACGAGGGTATGCAGGGATAGGGACGTGGCGGCTTTGCAGAGAGAAGCCCAGGGCTCATAGCAAAGTCACGTTGGCTTTTGGAAACACCACCACCACATGCTTTGGTTTCTGACCAGTCCTGGCTTCAACTGTTTGACACTAGTGACCCAACTGGACACACCTCCCCGAGCCCTGCCTTTTCTGTCCCTGTAGCCCCTAACTCCCCACCCCCTGCTTCATGGTGCTGCTGCTGCTGCAGGGGAGGAGGGGGTGCAGGGGGGTGTCCTCCAAGCTATGAACAAGCAGCCTCTCTGATGCAGCAGCCACAGTGGGGTCCCTGTGGGGACCCCTCCAGGTCCAGTTAGGGAGAGCCCTGGGAGCCTGGGCAGCTGTTCCTCCACCCACTGCAACCCCTTGCCCTGGCTCTTTGGAATCGATTTCTGACTTGGTTTCCCTACCCAGCCTGTTTGTTTGTTTTCCCCCCAAAAGGGGCTCCTTCCCTGTGTGATTCATTTCAGCACATGGCATCCCCATCTGGACCGTGGGTCCATCCATCCTCCAGCCTGCGTTGTCTTCCTCCGGGCCTCGGATGCTGACCTCTCCTGACTCCTGACCCAGGCTCCCTTGCTCTTGGCTTCTGATTGTATTCACTTTTCAAACGATCATTCAGCATCTTCCATGGTTTGGATGATCCCCTTTAACCAGCCTAACTAGGCAGATACTATTCACACCATACCTGCTTTACATATATTCATCCCACGGGCCGCATCACCAGGAAAATGAAAGGTGGGAGGAGAGAAGGGCTCAGAATTTATTCTCCTTCCACGTTCCTCTTTGGCTGTGGTCCAGGGGCCCCCTTCTTACCCCGCACCTGTGCAGGTGCCCACTCTGTGGCCCTCCAAGCCTAGGTGGTGACAGCTCTCTACTGTGAAAAATCCCATTTCCCCTGGTCCTTTAACACGTCGCTCTAGGGTGAACTCCCCTCCAGGGGCCTTCTTCCCAGAGACAAGAACGGTCAGAGGGGGAGCCTGTGAGGAGAGGCTGGTTCCAGCTGGCCTCTGCCCTTCACCCTCAGACTCTTAGACCTAGGGAGTGGCTTAAAGTCGCCTTGCTCTCAGAATTGGCCCTTTGTGTCTCCTATTTTGTCCTGTCTCTGTCACTTTCTCTGTCATTCTGTGTCCAGCATGTGGACTCCATGAGGCCATCTCTATATCTCCTGTACCAGTGCAGGCCCTGGCTCGGAGGAGGCGAGAAACAATTGTTTGTTGAAAGGACTCACGTGGAGTTCTGCCCCTGTCCTCCACTGCCCCTAGGCCCTCCCTCTTGTTTTGCCTCTCCGCATCTCAGTCTACCTTGCTCTTTTCCTCTTCCTCTGCTTTCCCCTGTCTGCTGATTTTCCTGGGTGATGGGATGGAGACTCACACCACGGGGCACCTGGCCTTCAATGGATGTCCAGCTGGTCTGGTGTTTCTCAAAGTGCTCTCTTGACTTCCTTCACCAGAACCACCACAGGTGCTTGGTGAGTGTGTTAGTATTTGAATCTCACCCCAGAATTACTCTAATACTTATATATTGCTGTGCAACAAATGCTCCAAAATGCAATGACTTAAAACAACAACCATCGTATTAGGTCTCATCGTTTTGTGGGTCAGAAATCTGGGGACCCTAACCAAAGGACCATCAGTTCTTATGAGGGCCCCCTACTCACCACTGAGCCTCCTTCCTAACAGGATCACTGGAGATAGGGGTGTTATAGCAAAGGGTGGTCAAGAAATCCATCAGGGTGGTCAGACTGGGTTCTGTATTCCATGGAAAAGGACTGAAAGACAAAGATGTCCCTTGGACCTCAGCTCCAGGGGACTTCCTACAGAGCCATCCAGGGCACACAGTCCAAAAGTACCAGTCTGAGGCCACCTGGAATTATTGACTCTCCAACATGGTGGCGTGGCCTCTAAGAACAAATTCCCCCAAAGGAAAGAAGTTGAAGCTGTCAGACTACGAAGCCCGAGGCTCAGAAACTGGCACGGCCTCGCTTTCACCATTTTTATTTGCCAAACTACAGTCCACCCCTAGGTTACAAATGTCCAACTTACGTGCAGTCGTGGTTACAAACCAACTCCTATAAAGTGGAAAATATTAAGGATTCGAGGGACCCCGGTACCATGGTTCATAGTAACAGACAACTTTATGAAGTGCGTCCAAATATTATCATTATGTTGGAGTTGTTTTAGCATACTTGGAAAAAAGTTTTAAGATCATTGTATTGGGGGCTCTTACAGCTCTTATAACAATCCACACATCAATTGACTCAAGCATGTTTGTACATGGGTTGCCATCATTTTCTAAATATTTTCTTTCTATTTGAGCCCTTGGTATCAGTTCTTCTTTTTTCCCCCTCCCACCCTCGTGACCCCTGGATACGTTATACATTATTATTAGGAAGTATTTCTTTAATGACTTTTTTTTACACACAGGATGACACGCTAAAGAATAAGACAACTGTTTGACCAACCGACGTTCGCCATGAACCATACTGAGCTTGTCTGACTTCCATAACAAATGGACTTGCAGACGGATGTAGGACTGGAACTTGTTTGGAATCTGAGGATGCCTGTCGTCATGTCCCTACTCACATTCAAAAGCAGGGGACATAGATCTCCCTTCTTAATGGGAGCAGGTCAAAGAACTCATAGCTCTCTTTAATTTACCATACATGGTGAGTCGGACCTTAGGGGGTTAGACTGAGGCCTTATGCATGTTAGCGCGCTCCGGAAGCTGAGACCAGTGCTGTGGCCCTGATCTGCCCTAGGGAGCCAATGCTCCTCCTCCCGCCCTACTCCTTTACCCAGAATGTCACCTGGCCCCACCACTCTGGGCTCAAATGATGTTGTCCTTGACCTCACCCCACTGTCACTCATCCCTCCCCCTCCCTTCCGCTCTCTCCCCACAACCACACACCAACCGACACTTGTCTTGGAGACCCGTGGCTCTGTCACAGAAGGATGGCACCTTCAAACATGGGTGACCCGCAGGCATTTGCCAATGACGTCTCACCAGGCCCAGAGGACATACTTCCTTCTCGCTTGGTCTGGCTCTCACTGGACAGAGAATTCTCAGCTATAGAAGACAGAGATAGCCCCGGCAGCTCAGCTCCAGGGGAGGTTTGCAAAGCCATCGGGTACACAGAGACCAGAGGGGACAGTCTGAAGCCACAGGAACTTGTTGACGCTCCAACCAGCAAAACGGAGAGCATGGCAGGTCCCCTGCTGGCTGGCGGTGGACCTGAGGGTTCTGAGGACACCTCTCCTGGCTTCTCCCTGCAGGTGAGATGGGGGGAGGAGTCAAAGTCCTTTAGAGGCTCTCCAAGACTGGTTAGACATGGACCCTACTTGGGGTTGAATGGTGCCCTCCCCAAAAGATAGGTTGGAATCTAACTCTCAGCACCAGTTATCATGACTTTGT